AAATCACATAATCCTTGCTGTAGCCCAGAGAGCACCTAGCATATAATTGCTAATTTGTAAATAAAAGCAAAACTAACACAAAAGGCTCAGGGAACCAGGAAACATTAAAACCAAGATGTGAGCCCAGCCCGGGCCAATGCCAAGACTTTCTCTCCCAAGGGCAGCAGGACTCTGAGAATGACTCTGCCACAGAGAGAAGGCCCTAGTCCATCCACCTTAGGCCAAGTGTGCTTCTTCTCAGACGAACTCAGCTTCAAGGAGATCTCAGTTTTTCTGAATCGATGTCTTATAGATATTTTCAGCCAGCCTACTTCTATCAACCTATTAGGTTATCCCCTTTCGGGTACAGTAACAGACAGGGTAAGTAATGGAGTTTTTATCTTAAGAAGGTTAAATTTCCACATCTAAGTAGCTGTGGTATGTCAGGATAAGGCTGTTGTTTTGCCTTCTGGAACTGGCCAGCGCCGAGGAAGCTCAGCCAGTGGTTGAGGTCATACAAGTCAACACTTGCCCCTGAGCCCAGAAGCTGGAAGAAGTAAGCAGAGGTGATTGTTAGACTCTGCCCCGTTTTCATTTCATCTAACTCGAATGGTCTTTAACCAGAGTCTGTGTTGATATTAGCAATGCTGAGATTCTGCCCACCCCAGCCTGAACCAGCTGCAAGACGAGCCAGCCACCCAGCTCTTCTCCAGCATTGCCAGGGGCTCCGGGGAGGCTGACTTTTCACTCCTTATGCAGATGTTTGGTCATCTGTATGTTTAATGCATACAGATGCTGGGGTTTCCTTAGAGCCAAACCTTTGGCCACAAAATATGGACAACAGGACCTCCCTGGTGGTGCAAGGGGTTAAGTCTCAGCACTATGAAGCTATCCGTAGCCACTGCAGCCTGAATTCGATCCTGCCCAGGGAGCTACCCACATGGTGCAGCAGACCTCTCTTGTCTCACCTGCTACTCCCCTCAGCAGTGTATTTCAGTAGATCTGCCTGTTCCACTCCCCAATTTATCTCTGGTGAATCCTCTCACCTCCCCACACCTCTGGCTTACACCCCAGTTCTTGTTGCATAAAGAAATAAATCTTTTTTAAAAAAAAAGAAAACATGGATAACATACACACACTGGCTTTGCATTCAGCTATTGGCATAGTACCAAGACGGCTGCATTTTAAAAGCCATCTAAGAAGGGGCAGAGCTGGGTAGCTGTAAGAAGGAACAGCTCAGCCAGGGGATGTTTTAAAAGCAAGTGGATGTTTGATTGGACTACACTTATGCTTGGTCTTAGGGGCCCTAATACAAAGTCAAGGGAGACCCCACTAGATGGCCGAAACCTGATGGAGTGGTCCCAAACAGGACACTGTTTCAAGGAGGGCTTTTTGGACCAGTCTGAGAAGCTGAGTGAAAGAGGGGCGAGTCAGGTAGTATCATCCCCAGATCAGAAGGAGGAGGAGAGCCGGCTCTGAGCAGCCCCTGGTGAGCCTCAGCTTGGTCCATGCAGGCTGAGAGCTGCTTTGAAGGTGCAGGTCCGGGAGGACCATCTGCAGGGCTTGAAGCCCCAGCCCCTGGGGCCCACTCTCATCTGCAAGATGGAAAAGCCTTGAACAGTTCCGAGTAAACAGCGCAGAGATGCTAATTGCTGCTGGGGATTTATCTTGTTAATGTTATGGAATTTATGTTCTCTTGTTCCTCTTCTAGACACATTGGGTTTGTAATCACATCACTAGTTCAATCATCACCAACTCCCAAGATGAAACTCCAAGTCAGGGAGACAGAGGAGCCCCAGGGCTGGTAAACACCCCCTGTGGGATGAGGGGCGGTGGGATGGGCAGAGCCAACAGCTAGTGGGTTGTGGAGCAGGTGACTTGGATACTGCTGGCCAAGGTCGTGAACAGAACTGAGGTTTCGCTGAGTGAAACAGACTGTGTGGACTGTTTCTGTGCTGCTGGCTAGTAATTGTGTCTAATAAATGTTTATTATATAGCTTTTAAAAATATGCTTTCTTGGGCCTCCCTGGTGGCACAGGAAGTTGAGCACCACACTGTGAAGCTGTCCGCAGCCTCTGCAGTGCGACTTCGATCCTGGCCAGCCGGCGAGAATCCCACATGGTGCGGCAGACCTCTCCTGTCTCGCCCGCTGCTCCCCTCGGCAGTGTATTTCGTCAGTCTGCCTGTTCTGTTCCCTGCTGTCTCTGGTGAATCCTCTCCCCCTCCCATGCATCTGGCCTGTACCCTGGTTCTTGTATAAATAAAAAATAAATCTTTAAAAAAATACATGCTTTCTTAAAGACAAAACTTGCAAGCCGACCACAGACCTGACGCACACAGCAGGGGAGAGGGAGAGAGAGGGGTCAAATCAGGGGAAGGAAGAGCACAAGGGACCCTGGTGAGGGATCAAGGGTGTGGCGTGGTGGGAGAACTATGAGGACTACAGTGGAGGGGAGAATCAAATACTGTCCCAAAATGAACAAAGATGTAAGAAAATTAGTTAATTAAAATAAAAAAGATAAGCCTTCTCACCACCCTGCAGAGCAAATAAATAACCTACTGTTTGTGATTAAACATGGCAATGCCTATGCATATGACCTGGAAACTCTCAGGCTGTCTCCTCCAAGGGAAGAACTGATTTGTAACCACGGAAGCATCTAGGAGGCAAGAACTGGCTGAGCACCTTGGCAGTGAGGAAGCCAGAGGCCCATGCCTGCTGGGGGGCAGTAAGGTGGGGGTGATGGTAGAGAGAAGGAAGACACTTTCTCCCTGACTGCAGCCCAGACCCCCAGCACTGCAGGCCCAACCTCAGGTGCATGCACAAGGGCTTTGTAAGAGCTGGGGTGTGATACACAACTTTTCCTTTCTGCTCCCCCGGGACACCCTTCAGGAACAAGCTCCAGCTACCTGAAACGGTGCCAAGCAGTACTGGCACGGGCACCCTAAAGGGCAGGCCAGGCTGCACAGAGTCCCCTCTCCTGCCCACCACCAGCAGGCCCTGGGAGCTTCTGTGCACCAGAAAGAGTGCCTCCATGCACTCTGGTCCTGCTGCTCCGGCTTTGCCTTGGGCAAAAAC